ATTTAGGCATCTCAATTTGATGTACCATTGGTTTAAAAAATAAAAAAATAAACAGGCAAAGCTCATGCTATACCATCTCTTGAGCCAGGTATCCAAGTACATTGCCAGACAAGAAACTGAGAGTTATGAGGCACTGCAAGTAATATATTTTGCTTCATCACTTCTGTATTGTGTAATTTAGTAAGAACAAAAATGGTGGAGCTGCACAGGGGTCGAGATGTTTTTATATAGACTGGCATCGCCATCTCCATCCCTCTCTTCCCACATGCATGATTTTCCCACGCCAAATTTCAAAAGAAAGCCAACTCTACTCATCCCATCCATAAAACTAAGGCAAATTATTTTTAACTTTTACTTTTGAACAATGCCCATAAGAGCAACTCCACCCATTTGCCCCTTGCCATGGCAAGGGGGAGCTAGGGCAGCCACTATTCACGTGAATAGTGGTTGGCCTTGCAAATAGTATTGTGTGTTTCCACCCATTGCCATGGCAAAGGGCAATTACTATTCATTTTTTTGTTTTTTTCACAAATTTGTTTACCTAAACAATTAATTTGGATAATATTTTCAGATAAGATTTTTGGGTTCGTATGTGTCAATATTTATTATAAAATTCATATCTCAATCGGATAAAATTTTGGTATTTATAGAAGAAAAAAAAATCAGTAATTTTTATTAAAAAAAATTCGATTTTTTTTCTTTTTTTTTTTGTACAAAAATTGGCTGCCGTTGGATTGGAGAAAAAAATATGATCGGAGAGCCCAGAGCGCGACACGTGGACTTTAGCGGCACTGTAGCGCTGACGTCAGCACCAAAACGAGGGCTGGAGCTCGGGCCAACCTTGCCCTTGGGCTAGCCTAGGTTGCTGGGTCCCACCTTGTGCCCGGGCTTGGGCTCCTCCCTGGAAACGGATTTTCTCTTTTTTTTCCCCCAGCCCGAGGCTTGGTCATGCCGCTAGAGTTGCTCTAATAGGCGGTAGCCCTGGGGGAGGGGGCAGGCGACGGGGCCACTGCCAGCCTCAACCTATCTGTGAGAGTAGTTTTCACAAAAATAAGGCTATATGAAAACAATTACTAGAAGATGGGGCGAGAAAGAAAGCTGATGGGTGCCAATAGCATCACTCCAAATCTATGAAAAGGAGATGTTGAAAATTTGTCCCTAATTAACTGCATCAGCACAATGCTTTTCATAGTCTAAGTCTATCCATCTTTGAGCTATATGAAATAAAAAAGAAGAGTCTTAGAGCTTACCATGGTGTCTTTAGTAGAGAAACAGATATCTTTCTTCATCCTTGTCGTCGTGACAATTGTTTCGATTTCTTCTTTCAAAGTAGCTACTGTCAAAAACTGGGAAATATAGAGAGACCAACAAAATGATTTTCTGTTTTCTTCAACTTGATTTCCTTTGTATTACTAATAGCATATTTATACAAGTAGAGATGGCTTCCTACATTAATTACAATAGGCAGCTACAAGCTCAAGGCTAACACTAGCTAGCTGTAACTCAAGGCTAGATGCAAACTCAAGACAATTGTCTGGTTGCAGGCTCAAGGCTCATTAGTGCCTTCACAACATAAGTCAACACTCCCCCTCAAGTTGATGCATAGATGTCGCCAATGCCCAACTTGCCTAGTGAATTGTGGAACGTTTTACTCGAAACTGCTTTGGTTAATATGTTTGCCAACTGATCCTCTGATTTGACAAAGGGACACTGAATTTCTTTAGCCTCAAGTTTATGTTTAATGAAGTGTCTATCTACTTCAACATTGTTGGCGCTAAATCTGAACAGATAGAGATTAGTGCAACTTACAAGAGATGTGGACGATCGAGGTGATCGATTTAGTGATAGATGGAGATTCTTCCTGTCTTCGGATGCTGATCCTGAATAGAAGATAAGTGAAGCCCGTGAGGTCTATGGAACCGGTGTGGAACCAGCCTAAGACCCTCCGATGCTCAAGTAAGATTGCTTATAAGAGCTCTTGCTGTTGACTATATAGAAGTATAAAAGTCAAGCTGAAAAGTCTTACCCCTTTGTTGATGGTGAAGGGGTGTATTTATAGAGGGCATTTGGGATGCTTGTGGTGTTCAGTTCCGATGTGCGACTCGTGGGAGGGCCCTGTGAGGTTGACACGAGTCCTTAGATATTTCGGGCGGGTGCTCCAAGGCTGATTATGTACAATCGGTAGATCATGCCGATTGTAGACGAGTTGGGCTCGTAATGGCTGTTCGCAGCTTTGAGACAATGCCATCGGTGGCCGATGCCGATTGCCCGAGGCCTTGGGTACTTGGGCGAGTTTATAAGATCCACGTGTTGTTGTACGAGTGGAGGGTCAGATATGGTACAAACAAACATGTTTGGGCTGATCATGTTGAACCAGATTATGTGCAATAGATATTACAGCCTAGTTGTCACAATACAGATTCGTTACAGATGTTGGGGCATATCCTATCTCGGTGCACGATGGTCCCATAGTTGCCGATGGTGGTATGTAGTCCCCCAAGTGCCCAAGGGAGAGCTTGGAGAAGAGACGGCATGATGTGCCGATTGTTTCAAGGGGTGAGTGAAAACTCATGAATGTGGCTATCGTTCGGCACGAGATGTGAGTGAAAACCCGTCAATGTGTGCCTGCCGTTCGGCACGAGAGGTGAGCGAAAACTCATCAATGTGCGCCTGCCGTTCGGCACGAGAGGTGAGTGAGAACTCATCAATGTGCGCCTGCCGTTCGGCAGTGGAGTTGTGCTCGAAGGTGGCTAGATCCGCCACGTTCGGGAAGTTGAAGCGTCTCTGAGGATTGGAAGCATTGCAGCTGACGTTTGGTCTCCCCCATGCATGCGTGACACGTGTCGGCATGGCTGTGAAGAGCCGCGGCGTTTCGTATCCCGATGCGTCGCTTCGCTTCCCGATGCTAAATCGGCTCTATAAATCTGAGGGGGGGACGAGAGGACAAATACTTGGAATATTTGGGAGCGAAGAGAGCTTGTGAGAGGCGATTTCCGGCAACAGTGCGAGGGCTGAGCAAGCGATTTCCGGTGAGTGTGAACAAGGCGGAGGCGATTTCCGGCGAACTTGAACCACCGTGCAAACAAGGTATGTTGCTGTGTTTTGGCATTTGTATGAATCAAAGTGTAGAATTCGTTGATTTTTTGTTTGAACAAAGTATGAACAAGCATGAACAAGCATGAACAATCATGAACAAGCATGAACATGAGTGTGAGGGTAGAACAAGATTTTGATTCTAGCATAGCACTTAGTTTCCCTTCGTTTGTGTTTGTAGATGTCAGATACCGAATCCGAGGGTAGGCGTAGTCCGAGGGCTTATGAGGACGAATCGTCCTCGGGGAGTTCGTCCGAGGGGAGTGAGAGTGCCGATTCTGGGAGCTCTTCAAGCTGTGAAGTAGTAGGGAGGGCAAGAGTGCGTGCCGAGGCTGGGGGCACTTCGACGAGAGTGCCTGAAGATGGGGAGCCTTCGACTTCGGGTCGGGAGGCCGATGGAGGTGGCGTGTCCGTTGCCGT